ATTTAGGGGAAAGCATTATACGACTGAACTCAATATACACTGTTTGCAAGGTATGTTTGAAAACTTTATTTAATCCCATACTGTACACTTCTGCTTGCACTAAAACAGCAACAAAACAATCCCCAAAAGTAGTGCACAGATCTAGGGGAAATTTTGAGAATCATAGAAGTTTAGAGCTAGTTGTGATCTTAGAAAATACGTAGTTTCACTTCTGTCATGTTGGACAAGGGAACTGAAGACCAGAGAGGTGAGTGCTGTTCCTCAAAGGCAAGGATAGGGTCTTATTCGTGGTGATACTTCCAGCACCTAGCACGGCACGAGGTAGTGGGTGCTCACTAAATGTTTGTGAAATGAAGAAATTCATTCCTTGCTGCACACAATACAGTACTTTGCATGCAGTAGGCATGGCAATACATTTTTTAATATAAATTTATTTGACCAAGTTTGAAAATAGCCAGAGAATGGCAGTGCTGGAAATAGATCACAGATGTGTGGCCTCCCTGAAAGGGACTCTGTCTGCCACACTTGGACAGTGCCTCTGGGAATGCCTACAGTCATGCAGTCTCCTTGCGATTGAATGAGTTGGATCGTGGAGCTCACTGTGCCTACATCCTGTTCTTAGGCCCCTGTCTTATTCTAGAGAGGAATGATAATTGGATTTGAACGTGCATGGCCAACTTACAGTTAGCCTTTGAACTAGAAAGAAGCAATGATGCAAACAATCTAAGAGACGCTATATTAGACCAGTGCTGTTCCCCCTTGGTAGGTGCTGACTGACTTATTTTACTGAATAAAGTTTTCTTAGGAAAACATTAAAATACATTAACCTTCCTTGAGTTGACATTAGCCAAATAGTGGCAGGAGGCCAGTGGAAGGATAAAGGATTGTTTAGAGCCATCAAGTGAAAATACAAGTAATCATGAAGTAATTATAACTCTAACCATGGAGACAAAGGTCAAAGAAATAGTGACTCTTCCCATACGATGAGTGATGATATGTAATATAAGGATGCTCTAGGGAAAAAAATTCATTCTATTCTAGATACAAAAGGTTAAATACTTTGTATTCTTGTCAGTGATCTTTTAGTTGCAAGGAAGAGAACACCAGCTAGCTCAATAATGGGGAGTTTACCATCTTCACAAGCATCCAGAGATAAGAAACTTAGTCTGGCCACAGTCAAATGAGATTGAAATGCCTAACAGAAACCAAGGATCCCCTTGGTCTCTCAGGACCCATCCTGTCTCTTGTACCTGCCTCTGCATCTGCTCCTTTCTGCTGCTCTTCCTAATTCATTCTCTCAGGCTTCCAGTGTTCAGAGAAAGAGAGAATATAATTGGCCCAGCTAGGAAGAAATGTCATTCTTGATGCAAACATTAAGGACACATACTATAGGTTAGGGATGGCAGGGTCATCTAATCCATAGATGGTCAAAGCTCCGTCCTTAAGCAGGTGCTAGCAAGGGGAACAGATTCACTTAGAAGGAGATGTGTGGAAAGGCAATGACTCATTTTTTAATTGTAAAAGCAATAGGTATTTATTTTTTAAAATTCAAACACCACAATATTGTGTGTAGAAGGTATGATTCTCAGTTCACAAACTCAGCTATACAGGAATTATAACTTTGTTTTCCAGAACAACTTAATTTCTAACTTCATGACCCAAGCCCTCAATCTGATGGGCTACCAGGAAATGTCACCACAGTCCTTCCTGATGTTTTCACCCTTCCCTGGGCTTATTTCATACCCCTAATCCCTTTACAGTACCAAGGGGCCACATAGAAGCCAGAAAGATAAAGACCACTGGCACTTTAACACATATTTCTATGTATGTGCATGTATGTGACATAGTATGTATGGTCATTTCCATGTATGATCATTTTCTATATATATATACACATCCATAAACCTTCAAAACAAAAAAAATCAAGGCATGCTATAACCACTATTTTGCAATTTTTTCAGTTGACAGTATATATTATGGGCATCTTTTTTTTTTTTTTTTTTTTTACAGAGTCTTGCTTTCTTGCCCAGGCTAGAGTGAGTGCCCTGGCATCAGCCTAGCTCACAGCAACCTCAAACTTCTGGGCTCCAGCAATCCTGCTGCCTCAGCCTCCCAAGTAGCTGGGACTACAGGCATGCGCCACCATGCCCGGCTAATTTTTTCTATATGTGTATTACTTGGCCAATTAATTTCTTTCTATTTACAGTAGAGACGGGGTCTCACTCTTGCTCAGGCTGGTTTCGAACTCCTGACCTTGAGCAATCCGCCCGCCTCGGCCTCCCAGAGTGCTAGGATTACAGGGGTGAGCCACCGCGCCCGGCCTTGTAGTTTTCTTTGTAGAGATCCTTCACCCCTTGGTCAAATTTATTCCTAGGTATTTTTTATAGCTATTATAAATGGAATTTCTTTCTTGATTTCTTGTTCAGCTAGTTTGTTGTTAGTGTATAGAAATGTTACTAATTTGTGGATGTTGATTTTGTATCGTACAACTTAACTGAACTCATTTATCAGTTTTATGAGATTCTTTGTGGGGCTTTTAGGTTTTTCTGTAGATAAGACAACATAATCTGCAAAGAGGGACAGTTTGATTTTCTTCTTTCCAAATTGTATATCCTGTATTTCTTTCTCTTGCCTAATTGCTCTGGCTGTGACTTCCAGCACTATGTTGTATTAAAGTGGTAAAAATGGACATCCTTGTTTTGTTCCTGATCTTAGAGGAAAAGGTTTCAATTTTTCCTGATTCAGTATGATGTTGGTGGTGGGCCTGTCATATATGGCCTGTCTGTTCCTTCTACACCTGACTTATTGAGAGGTTTTATCATGAAGAGATGTCGAATTTCATCAAATGCTTTTCTTTATGTATTGAGATGAGCATGTGGTTTTTGTCCTTCATTTTGTTGATGCAATATATCATGTTTATAATTTTTCAAATCAGAAACTGTTCACAAAATGACCTGATACCCCACATTACATTAATATCATCCTTTTCATGATGGCACTTGTTTAGTGCCAGTAGTGAAGGGGTGAGTGATGACATCCTTTCCTTTAACATTAGCATTTCACCTGTCTCAGGGTGATCTGGGCCAAGACCATACCCAAGAAAGCTTGGAAAGACAATTAAAAAAATAATAATAGGCTGGGAACAGTGGCTCACACCTGTAATCCTAGCACTTTGGAAGGCCGAGCCAGGAGGATTGCTTGAGGCTAGGAGTTCAAGATCAGCTTGAGCAATAGGGAGACCCCATCTCCACAAAGTTAAAAAATTACCTGGGCATGGTGGTGCATGCCTATAGCCCCAGCTACTCAGGAGGCTGAGGCAAGAGGTTCACTTAGCCCAGAAATTTGAGTTTGCAGTGAGCTGTGATGATTATGATGATGCCACTGCACTGTAGCCCCAGCAACAGAGTGAGACCCTGTCTCAAAAAAAAAAAAAAGATAGTATTTTCTGAGCACTTACTCAGTGCTCAATATAAATAGTATATTTATCAACAATATCAGTAGCTACCAATATCTATCAATAATAGTTAGTATATAGGTGGAGGTGGGAGCATCAGAGTCTCGCTTTGTCACCCTGAATAGAGTGCAGTGGCATCATTGTAGCCCATTGCAATCTCAAACTCCTGGGCTCAAGCAATCCTCTTGCCTCAGTCTCCTGAGTAGTAGAGGCTACAGGCATATGCCACCATGCCCGGATAATTTTTCTTCTATTTTTAGTAGAGACAGGATCTTGCTCTTGCTCAGGCTGGTCTCAAACTCCTGAGCTCTGTGCTCAAGCAATCCTCCCACCTCAGTATCCCAGAGTGTTAGGACTACAGATGTGAGCCACCGCGCCCGGCCCCAAATTTTACCTCTATTTGTACTTAGTAGAATCACACTGCTTCTAATGCCCTGAAAATCTCATGCTGTTCATGGCTTCCTGCTTGAGACATACTATTTTCTTTGTCTCAATGTCCTTCTACTTTGATTATCTGGAGAATTTCTTTCAAATCCAGCTATGACATCTCTTCCAGTAAGCCTTTCCTAATTTTCCTCTGATAATGTTAACCAATCAAGCTTCTGTGTCAACTTCTGTTCTTTACATAAAAGTGTGTCGTTCATCATTCATTCAACATTAAATAATATTCTTTTAGGAATTGAGTTAAGTACTAGTACTTAACTAAGTACTAAGAAACAGAGTAGAAGGAAGACTCCATGCCAAAGCACAGACCTATCTAGGCACTGCCAGTAGTTCCCACCAGCTAAAATAACGAATGGATATAAACAGGTTGGGGTGAGTGGGAAGCAGGTATTCCAGAATAAAAGTATTGCAGGGCCTCCCAACTGAGCCCAAATTTAGGAATCAAAGCTTATCTGTTTGTAGAAAACAAGAGCTGGTAATCTGGCAGGGTGTTTATTTGAATCAGTGATCATGCTATAGGACGGGATGACATCTATACCACATCTTGGATTGATTTTGAGCTCTTGTAGGGAGAGAAGTTAGGATCAGATGCTGAGAGAGCTGTTTGAAAAGGACACTTTAAGATACTCTGGGCACAAGCTGTGCTGACTGTAGAATCAAGGAAAGCCCATTCTCCTCACGTCCACATAGAACCCAGCATTGCCAAAGTATCTTGGAGAATGGTAGCTTTTAGCACACTGGTATGTAGCCTTCTGGGATGTATGGTTATAGTGGCCCCTATCAGCTGTGGCAGTGGCAGTGGTGTAGCACCCTTAAAGAGCTTCATGAGTAGAGGGCATTGAAAAGAGGGAACCAGAGCAAAAAAGGGAGAAGAGGGTTGATGCTGCATGAAGGACTGTGGCAGACAGACTGGTTCGTAAGCCTGAGACAGAGTTGGCATGAACTCCAGGCTACTGGCTACTGACGCGCATCTAATCTTAAATAACAACCGCAAGCAATTGACTTCTGAAGACGTCAGAGTTACACTTTATTATTTGCTATGTGGGAATTGTGTCTTACTCATATTTTTGTTCCAGGACCTAGCACAAAGCCTGACACACAGCAACTGCTGACAAGATATTTGTGGATTTACTTAATAAAGGAGTTGGGAAAAGTTGGAGAAGGGAGGGTGGGGAGCATCACATATACGTACACATGCTTAAAATGTGATCGTCTCTTCCTGATCTGGCCAGACCCAGAATATAAAACAGAAATGGATCTGGGTAATGGGTCCTGGCCCTTTTTGGTGCTTCCAGCATGCGTGAGGACCTGATGAGACAAATTCCGTGGCAGTTAGAAAGCGAAATGGCTGCCAAGATGGCGCAGAGGGAAAATTTAGTCTTGACCTTCCACACTCCTGAGGTTCCCAAAATAAAGGGAAACCGGAAATATCAAAGGGTGAGGAGGCACCTAATTGGAGGTCAGATGAGAGGAAGAGGACTTACTTAAAGGTGGGGCTAGACTGAGCATCCTAAGAACAGAGAAAAGATCACCCTAAAATTTTTGCTTTTATAAAAGGAGTAGGGACGGATACCCACAAATCAAACCCACATGGGGATATTTGAGGTAGAGAAGAATAGGAGACCCTGGGGATTAGGGGCAATCCTTTTGGGTAGGCAATGTCTCCCTCATCCTTGTAGCCTACCCTCCCCACCAACAAACATCCGAGTGCCTCGATGCCACCCCAGAGGCGGCAGCATCTTGTGGATGAGATACACACCTACATCCGACTGTTCTGTGGCAGCCTCTGTGGTTTTAGCCTCCTAATGCTGATCTGCGTGTCCCCACTGAACTGGGTGCAGTTCCTGGTGATCAAGAATGGCCTTGAGCTCTACGCAGGACTCTGGACCTTATGCAACCATGAGCTGTGCTGGAGCCACACACCCAAGCCACCCTGTGAGTGCCACCAAATTAAATGCTGCAGGCCCCACAGTTCCACAGCTTTCTGCCACATTATCCCTTCATCTTTCTTCCTGTAAGATCTTTGGGTTTTCACCTCTCCAAGTCCAAGATGGGTCTCAGCCAAGTTGCAAATGTAGTCAGCCTTTTCTTTGGTAGCCTCTGTGTACCCTTTCTCCCTCCTATCCCAGGCTGTTCCTGTCCCAAATAATAAGTTGATACTCTTTACTCTCTGAGAAGAACTCTTTTGTCATTTATAAGGTATTACTGTGAAGCAATGGGATTGCCATTCTAACATAGCTTGCAGAAATAGATGATAAGTGACTGGTCATAGCTGGGAGATAAAGCGAAGTGTCTCAGCACCCATTAGGTCTGATTAACAAGGTCAGCTTGTTCTTCTGCTAACAGGAAAAGAGAAATTAAATGTATGTTGATATGTGGTATAAGAAATGCCAGCTATGTAGAGTAAAATTTTGTGTGAATTTAAATAAATCTGAAAATGCAACAAAATATTTTAAAATAAGCTTCTGGGGCCCCGACAATATCATATACAGGAGTTTTTAAATCAGACTTAGAGGAAAGACATGCCTCATATCATATATATGAGTTTAAAATCAGACTTAGAGGAAAGACATGCCGCATGCAGGACTCTGACTGACAGACTGGTTTCATAAGCCTATTGGGACATACTTGGCACGAACTCCAGGAAACACCGACAGCTTTCCTTCCCATCACCCACAAGACCTGCACTTACACACAGAAACAGGTATCATGAAAGAAAACATACATGAGTAAAGTGTTTATTCCCCTTCTCAGATAAGCAGAGGTCTCAGATGCTGGGGGAAGAGAGCACCTTGGACCAACTCTGAGGTGGAGCATCAGTTATTTGGCTGTGGGCTGTGGCATTTGGAATTAAGGGGCAGGAACCTATGAAGCAGCATCTTGGGATGAAACTAAAACAAAGGCAGGCAGACAATTCACCTGCATCTTCAACTAAAAAACAATTGGAGAAAATGTTTGCAACAGATATAAAAGATAAAGGTTAACAGCCCTAATATATTTAAAAGGACATGCAATTTATTAAGAAGAAGACAAACATCCAAATAAGGCAACTCTTTTTGAGCAGACAGTTCACAAAACAAGAACTAAGAAAAACTAACTGTCTCATAAAAACCGGAAAAACAATTTAACCTCAATCATTAAAGAAAGGTAAAATCAAATGAACAATGAGATGTAAATTTTCAACTATCATGTTAACAGAGATTTTTTTTTTTTTTTTTTTTTGAGACAGAGTCTCGCTTTGTTGTCCAGGCTAGAGTGAGTGCCGTGGCGTCAGCCTAGCTCACAGCAACCTCAAACTCCTGGGCTCGAGTGATCCTCCTGCCTCAGCCTCCCGAGTAGCTGGGACTACAGGCATGCACCACCATGCCCGGCTAATTTTATATATATATATCAGTTGGCCAATTAATTTCTTTCTATTTATAGTAGAGACGGGGTCTCGCTCTTGCTCAGGCTGGTTTTGAACTCCTGACCTTGAGCAATCCGCCCGCCTCGGCCTCCCAGAGTGCTAGGATTACAAGCGTGAGCCACCGCGCCCGGCCCATTTATTGTCTTTTTGATAATAGCCATCCTGACTGGGGTAAGGTGATAGATACCTCACTGTGACTTTGATTTACACTTCCCTGATGATTAGTGATGTTGAGCATTTTTCATATATCTATTGGCTATTTGTACGTGTGCTTTTGAGAAATGTCTGTTCAGATCATTTGCCCATTTTTTAATTGGCTTATTTACTTTTTTGCTGTTGATGGCTTCAGTTCTTTGTATATTCTGAATATTAATCTCCTGTCAGATAAGTAATTTGCAAATATTTTCTTCCTTTCTGTAGGTTGGCAGACCTCTTCTTGAACAAATATGAGACCCCTTCCTTGGCGGCAGGGTCTCAGAAAAACTGGGAGACATTTTTGCAGTGTTAAAGTCCTGCAATTTGGGCCTTGGTAAAACAGGGCTTGAAATCATTACAATATATAAGCCAAAGTAAAAGCAAACGTGACTTCATTTTGTAGTCACAGGCTGACAAGGTCTGTATATGACAGATATATCTGAAAGAGAAAAAGCAAATAGAAACAAACTACAAATTCAACAATGGGCATATCATTAGGGTACCTTAATATGATAGACTATTTTGTAGACATTAAAAATGATGGGCTGGGCGCGGTGGCTCACACCTGTAATCCTAGCACTCTGGGAGGCCAAGGCAGGTGGATTGCTCAAGAGCATTGTCTTATTAGTAGCGCGCAGGCTCTGCTCGGCCTTCTTGCAGCTAAGTTCATCAACACGCACCTACAGTACGAACAGACATCTCCGAACTGTCTCCCGGCGCCTACCCGTGACTACGGGTACACCACTGCGCCGCCTGCTCTATCTCATTAGGCACTCTCTTTCCTGGACTCAAGCTCTATGAAGCATACCAGCACGATCCTTCCCTCTCTACCCTTAGTCTAACGGCTCGTTCTACAACTTTGCTGCGGCTCCCAAACATAGCTAAAAAAAATAATATAAAATAAGATGACATAAGAAATATAAAATGGATCGAAAAGGAAAACAAAAAAAAAAAAGATATAGAATAAAACTAATTAGAGAACCCCGCATTTCTTTAGTCTCTCATAACCAAAACCTATTCGCAGTTACACTCGCGATGACTACCTTCCTAGATCTGAAGCTAGCTGCTTTACGTTCGTTATACTTCCTCTGGGCTCGTCATAAATTATTTTCACCTTCTTCAACTCAAAGTTCACTGCTTGTTAGACCCTCATGCCTGCCCTCTTTACCCCTCTATCGCGCTCTCGCCTCTCGTCTCGCCCACCCATATAGCAGGCGACGACGGACGCCTAACAGAGACAACGCGCGACCACTCCTACAGATCTTCTCTCACTCGTAGCAGCGGACCATTGGGCACCTTCTCCATAAATCTTAGACGACGCTGGCATAACCCGGAGACGACCTCCTCGACAGTGAACTCACTTGGCTATATCTCCATTGCACTACATTACCTTATCAACCGCATCCTCTCTGACCTACTCTCCACCGCCCGAGTGCCAACATTTACTCTCACAAGCCCTTCACAAGAGTCTCATAGCCACCGGGCAGGAAGCTCGCTGTGCCATTAAGCGGATCCACAGAAGCTGGATCCTCAGCACGACATCACGCCATCCACTACTCTCTACTCTCTATAACACACAAACCACCCCCCACCACCCCCCCCCCAAGCCACCGAGCTCTCTTGCTCACTCATCCTTGGTCTTCGACTCTCTCCGCCTGCTTTTTCATTTCCTTACTATCGCCTGCACGCTGTCAACAACGGTGACTATCCGTGGTTTCACTTTAATCCTTCCTAGTTGCAAGCATATTTCCAGCATAAAAATACGATTGTTTCAACACGAGTCAGGTTCCCTTCCTTGGTCAGTGGCTAATCGTGGGGACTACACGGCATGGTCCAGGGCTATATGCATAGGCTTGCTAGGCCGTGGGGGTTGTGGGCTAAATAACCTGCAGAGATGCCATCACCTCAAGCTTATACATCTCAATCTGGGCTGATGGCTCTGGCAGCTATATGTACGCTAATATATATATTCTGCTAATTACATATAACTTCTGAATCGACCTACGTTTTTTAGAAATGTGCTGCTCTTGAATTATTATTTTTAATCTTAGCTAACTTGTTGGGCCACACAAAAATTTACTGTGGGTAATGAAAATGCTTTATTGATCATATTAGTAAGCATCATGTTCTGAGAATAATATGAACTTTCTTTAAAAGGAGATACTGCGGGATAAACTTGATGATAAATAACTTTTTCTCTTTGTTTGTTGGCAAGGTAGCACTTGTATTCTTAGGCACTAGAAGTGCTTAAGACTTTCCAGTGGTGGATGAGCTACCCTGCCACTGGGACAGGAAAGAAGCCAGAGGGCTCCTATGTTAGGTATTGAAGATACTCGCTGGTCCTGGGTATCTCAGAAAGGCTAATGCAACTTGTAATTGTAAGTTTATCCTCTATTTCTTAATCTTTAGTACATTATTGATGGGACGTCAGGGAAGAATCTATTCATATTTAGGGATGTGGTCACGCAAGGAAGTTTAAGCAACCCGTCCCCTCTCCTGCTCTCTTACCACCTAGCCACGCGGCAGACCGAGAAAAGGCTCGGAGCCAGCGCCGAGGGAAGCAGTGTGGTGCACTTACTGTAATGGCCATTGGAGCAAAAGAATGTCTAACCACACATCTTCTCTTTTAATTATTTTTTAATGACAGATTTGTTGTAACAATATTCATGCCACCAGTGTGTTTCGATACATGCCTGATTATAGTGACCCAGGTTAGAGGAAATTAGCATATCCACCCATCCTCAGACATTTATAATTTCCTTGGTGTGACACACACTTCACTACGTCCTCCTGTCTATTTGAACTATACATATAATCATTGTTACAGTCCCTTTTACGTGGTATAGAACATGAGAATTATTCTCTATTCGAGCTGTATTGGGTATCCTTTAACAACTCATCTGCCATCTATCCTTCCCACTTCCTATTATCATACTATCCTCTGTTGCTATCTTTCTACTTCATGAGATCAACATTTTTTAGCCTTCACATATGAACGAATATTTGGTTCCTAATTTTCTGTCCTGTTTATTTCACTAACCTCACATGTCCCTCAAGCTTCATCCACTAGTTGCTCGAATGACAAGACTTGCGTATCTCTTCTTTACTGGCTAAATATTTCTATGGTGTGTATGTACGACATTTCTTTATCCATTCATCTTGTTGGCTTTGTGATAACCTGCCATAAACATGGGGATAGCCAGATGCTCTCCAATATACATGATTTCCTTTCTTGGATAAATTCCATAAGGATTGCTGCTATCATGTGGTCGTTTCTATTTGTAATTTTTTTTTTTTTTTTTTTTTTTCGAGAAAAAGTCTCACTCTGTTGCCT